TGGAAGTGTTGGTGCAGTATTATGGGATCCCACTTTCAGACAGGATGAGATTGTAGCTTTCACCGCAGACTTAGTTTTAAATCTCACTTAAAAGAATGTAAATTTTGTGTCCACATTTATCTACCAGGAAAGAAAGAGAAGCTGTATACTCTGAAACCTGTAAGAGATGGTCTCAATCAGCCTCCTTGTTTTATATGTTGGGAAACCTTGTCTCAGAGAAGTTGAAAGGTGGAGCCAAACTTTCACAGCTAGGTAGTGGCAGAGCTAACCCTAGAACATAGATATATTGATGCTCAGTCCACTAGATTATTTTCCCCATGCTGTACTTACAGAATTAATTTCAGAGTGAAGAATTTTTAAGACGTGTCTGGATTTTTTAAATTAATTAATTAATTAATTATTTTGGCAAGGGGCTCAGGGAGGCTGGACTTGAATGACCGAAGACCGCACCTCCTTGGATATTTAGTCTATAAAGAGCCACGTGCCACTACTCATGCGATAGAACATGATGTCCGTCCATGGTCGTTATGGATATCCCCCCACCCCCACCGTCTCCTTCCAGCCCCCTGCCATGTGCACTCTATACATCTTGCTGAGAACAGGCAACAATCAGCAGGGGCATCTTTTTGTTTGCAGCTCTTCCGTTTGCTTGACAGCCTTCTAGAGTCATGCACACTTGTGGGGCTCTGGGGACCGGCAGAAGCCCCTCTGCTGTGACACTTCCAACGGCCCCTTTTCTGACACTCTGGATAGCCTTTTGGGAGGTCTTCTCAGCTACATTTTTCATCAGAGCTATTTGGCAGATCATCTCACATACGTATGTCACAAACCTACCAGTAGCCACCTTTTGTGAAACGTATGGAATGAAGAACCCAAAAGTAAGACACTAAAACAGCGCAGGAGTTGCAGGCTTAGCTCTTGAGCCTAATAATGCAGATGTGTATACGTAATGAGACAGCATGTCTAGACTTAAAGTCTACTTAAGATCCGTTTTGAAAGTGATGACTTGTTCTGTGATGCTCAGGTATCCAACATACCCATTCGAGCAGTCAGCTTTTCTGTTTGGCCTTCAGTTACACTGAAAGCTTCATTTGAGTGATTTTTTTTTCCCCCAAAAGCAACACCTATAAACACAAGTCTGGGGGTATTTTCCTTTTTAATGCCATGTTAGGAAAATAAGTGCCCCTGTGTGAAGAGATTCTGCAGGTCAGCAGAGGTGCGAGTGTGAAGTGGTCTTTCAGAGGGAAAGAGCCCAGCTCTCTTTGCATCTCAGGGAAGCCCTTATGCTCATCATAACCGATTCTTCAACCATTACTTTGGATGTGTTTTCGTTTATCCCCCATTTCTTTAAAAATATTTAAAATCCGTTTTATTACACGCTTTGACCATTTTCTTCACTGGTCACTTGTGGCCACGTTGAGGCCCATGTCTGAGGAGAGGTAGTTGACAGCTCTCCTCCCCTGCAGTGGTCAGCCTCGTCCAGTGGAAAATCTAGACTCACAACATCCAGACTCAGTGTCCGGGCCTGGCTCTGCCACATCCTCACACGACTCTGGACGGGCAACTTCAATTAGTCTTACTTAGCTTCTCTGTAAAAAGGTGCTTAAATTGACCCAGTAGTTGTAAAACCTTGATGTGGATCTGGAAATCCCTGTATAGTTCAGGGAAAAACAGTGGTTGACCCAGTCAGGATCTCTGGGGCATCCTATTTCTGGCCCAAACAAGTTCAAGACCCACCGATGAGATGACTGTTAAAGGTTCTTCCAACTCTACAGTTTTGGGTTCTCAATGTGGCATCAACTCTGGCTTCCTGTTCTGGCAGTGTGGGCTGCAGTCTTTCATGTGTGTGGACTAAATGGAAAGCATCATTAGATCTCCCGGAAGGGAAGGAGATTGAGCTGACCTCAGGAAGCCTTTTCCGCCACACAGTGACCGAGCTCACCTCAAACACATCAGTTCACTCTCAGGGATTTATTTTTCCTCCTGTAAGACATGTGGGGACCACCTTCTGTCCTCGCTACTAACCATCTTCAGGACAAGGGTTGTATTAGCCGTGCCTCAAAATAAGATCTGGTTGGTTACCTGAAAGTATTTCTTTGAGATCAGTGTTTGTTCATGTTTGACTCTAAAACCAGGATTTCCAAAATGTCCCCATTGAATGTCCCCCTTTTGATGAGTGCTAATGAGGCTCTGTGGCATCGTAGGCCTGCGGCTGCCCAGAATACTGGTGGCCTTAAAAGCTCCTTTTCCAAAGTATCATTTTCCCCCTTTATTTAAGAACTGATGAGTCACACAGTCTCCAAAAGCATGAAACCTGGGCACATTCAGATTTTTTTACTGAATTTGTGAGCATGCTATGATGATTAAAGCAAATATGGTACTCCTTTTAAAACATTATCATTTTTGGAATTTTCAAATATACAAGTAATAAGTTAATATACTGCCATGTATCTATTAGCCCATCTTTAACAACTACCAACATTTTGTCAATCTTGTTTCATCTATTCTCCTACTGTATTTTCTGAAAGATTTTAAATAAGTCTAGACATCTTGTTGTTTTGCCCATAAATATTTCAGTGTGCATCTCTAACTTCTAAGAATATTTCAAAATATGTATAATTACCATAACATTATCATATCTAACAGAACTAACAGCAAATCATGTAATAGCTTGTCCATATTCATGTTTCTCCAATTGTCTTAAAGATGTCTTTCTATAATTGTTTTTTTTTTAAATCTAGCATTATTTTTTTAACACTGCTTTTATAGTGGGGAGACAACAGGTTTTTATTTCGGCCCCTTTGGGATTTGGGTACGTCCACTGTACTGGTCCCATTTATTATACTGAGATCTTGAGGCAGTTTAAGATGGCGATTAAACACTTAAAGAAAATGAAAAGCAAGACACAGATTGGGAGAAAATATTTACAAAACATGTATCTGACAAAAGGCTTATATCCTGAATACATAAAGAACTCTTACAATTCAATAATAAAAAGACAACTTGATTAAAACAGTGGGCAAAAGATGTCATCAGATATTTCACAAGAGATTGGCCAATAAGCACATAAAAAAAGATATTGAACATCAGTAGTTATCAGAGAAATGCAAATGAAAACTAGAATGGCATACCAGGAGAAACCTACGAGAATGGCTGAAATTGAAAATGCTGAAATACTAAATAAAAATGAGCAAGTAATAAATAAAAAGAAAATACTGACTATACCAAGTATTGGTGATGATGTGGAACAAGTGGAACTCCCACGTACGACTGGATGGCGAAATCACTCTGGAAGACAGTATGGTTGTGTCGTAGAAAGTTAAACATAGGATCCAGAAATCTTATTTCCATGTATTTGTCCAAGGCAAAGGAAAACATACACCCATTCCAACATTCGTACTTGAATGTTCCCAGTAACCTTATTTATAATAACTGCAAACTGGGAACAACTCAAATATCCATTAATTGTTGAGTGGATATGTAAATTGTGGTATATCCATACTGTGGAATATTACTCAGCAATAGAAAGGACTACGTATTAATACACAAAATAACCTGACTGAATCTTAAAAATTCACTAAGTGGAAGAATGAAAAAGACTACCTCCTAATCTGATTATGTTTCCACTTTTATGAAATTCTAGAAAGTGCAAAGCTCTAGTGCTAGGAAGGAGACCAGCAGCTGCCTAGAAGTGGGGCTGGGGCAAGGCCGTAACTGCAAAGAGCACAGGAAACCTTTCCGGGGAATAAAAATGTTTATATCTTGATTGTGTTGGCAGTTACATGTGGCTCTATGGCTATATAAACTGCCAAAATTCATCACGTTAAGCTGAAAATCAGCGGATTTTATGTGTTATTTTTTTAAATTGGTGATTAAGGACCATCAACTTCAGAGGCATACAGACTCCAGCCATTTACTGTGTCACCTTAGGCCTGATATGTAATCCAAGACTCGGTTTCCTCTAGAGGAAAATGAAGAGAATCGTAAGCTGGTTGGGAGGATCACATAAATGATAATCAATGTAAAGGGCTTAATAGGATATCTAACCACTGTTAAATGCACAAGAAATGACATAAGTCTCGATATCCACATCTTCCCAAATTTCTGAAAAGCTTCTGCCTCTCTGTGCCCATTTCTAATCAGGTTTTCTTTTGAAGGATATCAAAAGGGAAGAGGTAAGTGGTTGGGAGTTGGGCAACAGTTTCTAGAGAAAAAGTGTCTCAGCGGCATGAACAGAATGAACTAGGGCAGCCAGCAGGCTCGGGGAAGAGCTGTAACTCGCAAGGGTGTCTCTTTCCTGGGTGGGGCTTCAATCCCAGCAGTTCTGGAGAAGTGAAACTCCTTTATATAAGTGGCCTTAATCATGTAGTGCTGCTTGTTTACATCTGAAGGAGACCCAAAATGTGACAGCATTTGAAATAGGGTTTTATTTTTTTTTTTAATGAGTGTTTTACAGAACTATATTTTTAGCCATGTTGGCTCATGTTATATAACTAAGCCGTCTCGTGGGACACTCTAAATAGAACTTGAAATAGCAAGAGATGACAAAAACTGGTATAAGCTCTTTGACTACAAGGATAATCTAATTGTAGGATGATGTTAATGATACGGAAGTTGCCTTCCTCCTTCCCTTGAAGAAATCTGATTCAGGCAGGGGACCTGCAATTTTCCTTTGCATACTTTTAATAGAAATTAGAAGTTTAGGCTTCCAGTTTGCCTTCCCGAAGAGTGAAATGTGATACATGTATGAGTTTTATTGATTGAACAGATTCATTTGACGAGCATCTACGGGGTGCTGTGTGCTTCCCTCAGGGAATTTGGTTGGGGGGAACCCGATTGGGGGGCAATTAGGGTAGGAGGGGAGAGAAAGACTAGTAAACTGACCACCAGAAAATAGTGTTCTATTGGGATGACTGGAGTAAGTACTGAGAACACAGAGAGGGAGGGGCACCTGGCATAGTTTTCTGAAGAGGAAGGGGTTGGGGAGGTTTTTGGAAGAGTTGACATCTCAGCTAAGACCTAGGATGAATAGGAAAGGGAAAAGAATTTCCCAGGTAGTAGGAACACAGGTCAAGGCTTGGAGGTAAGAAAACATGGATGTGTGACGGATTACATCTGGGGCACAGAACTGGAGGTGAGAGTTTGGACAGTAAGGCCAGTTTGGTGACTGCAGAAACTGTCATTAAGCCCATTTTGGTCCGTCACCTCTTACTCCATGAAAGCACTGATCTTTGAGAACCTCACCTTGTCTTTCCAGGAACACTGGAGCCACACTGGTCAGGACTGCTGTGGACAGCCATGCTCATCTCTCTGGCCATTGTCATTGCCCTCCCCAAGCCCCATGGCATCCGGGCCTTAATTGCTTCCACAATTCTCCGGTTGATATTTTCGGTTGGATTACAACCCACGTTGTTTCTTCTGGGAGCTTTCAATGTAAGTATAAATACCTTTATAGCCGCATTCTTGTTGACATGCAAACAGGAATGCCTTCCATTCTGGTTCCTAGGATCTTGGCCTGGGCTTTCAGTGCAGCAAAAGGCCGTTCAGGTCATCTGTTAAAATAGCAGAAGCAAGAGCTGCGTGGGTGGACATCTCCCTCTTAACCTTCTCACGGCACAGTGAACCTCTTAATCTATTACCTGGGCATCCACAGTCTCCTTTTTAGGGAATTTCCCTCTCAGAAGTAAGGCAGGAAGAGGAAGAGCAGTGGAGATGTAAATTATTGTTCCCAGTCAGGTCAGAGGTTTGGAGGGACAGGAGATTTTAGCCGAATGGCCAAATATTAATGGTATCAGTCAAATGGTCAGATATTAATACAGCACACCCACTTCTGGTGAGGACCACACGGAGCCAGGAGAAGAGGCAGGAGGACTTGTTCAGACAGAGATGGAGCAAGTAGAGAGGTAAGGAGAGAATCGGGGTTATTTCAAAGTCGGTGGTGCCATTTGGAAGTGTTCTTCCACTGTAGTTGAAGGATAGACGCTACCGCACCCGTAGGGGGAATTCTTAGGAAGTAGAGATAGCTGATACAGGACCATAGATTGGAGAGGTTTCCTGGTAAAAGGAAGCAAAAGGTTTGGACATGGGAGGCACTGTGGGGATCGAAAACTGCTTTCTAGAGGTTTCTGCCTTGAGCATATAAAGAAGCTGAGGTTGTTGTATAGAAATGGAAGTCATGTTGCAAAATAAGGTTAATACAGTAATTCAGTGCAGCAGTAAATGTCCCCAGATGGGTATGCAGATGGCAAAGGCAGCAAGGACACTGGGGCAGAAGGGACCACTTCAAGCTGACAAGCCACAGGGGAGGAGGTGGGGTTTCAGCTCTGTCTTGGAGAATGGCTAGGACTGGGCCAGAAAGCAGGAATTGAGAAGAGCATTTTGCTGTAGGCCCCACAGGCCAGAGCAGTGGGGAAGGCCCAGGACACTCTCGAGAGAGAGCCAGCAGGAGCGTTCCCCTCCACTGGGGTTCAGGGAGGGATACGTAGGACCTACTCCCAGCACAGGTCACCAGGGCACTGCATGGTAGGAGAATGCCCTTGGGCCTCATCCTCCAGGTCAGTGTTTCCAAAGCAGGCTCCAAGTTGATAAATCTTAGGTGAGAAAGAGGTTCAGTGGTCCAGTCCATGAGGGAGAGCCTGCGTTAAACAAAATTAAAGGGTTTTTACTCTAGGATTTCTGAGAGACTTTAATGTGCATGATAAGGGTTATGAATCTCCAAGAAATGGAAACCGTGTATCTCTGTTTCCTAAACTTACTTGCCCACATTTTAAGTATCACTTGGAATTAGTGTTGTAGAATATAGGTTGGGAAACTCTATTCCCAGTAGTGGGAAATGACTCAAGTTTTTTTGAGCAAAGAAATGGCATATACAAAAAAGTATTCTTGGAAAAATGCCCTCAAGTAGTGGAATGTTATGTGGATTCAAGTGGGAGGGACTGGAGGCAGGAGGACCATTTCAGACCCCCAGCAGAGCTCTTGACTAGGTGTGACAAGCCTGGGTCTTGGTCAGAGTGTGGAAGAAAGAAGAAGGTACAGATGTCAGAGCTGGAAAGGATAGGGTAACGTTTTGTGGGCCTAGAGTCAGAGCCTCACACCTGAAAGCCATGTAGGGCCTCAGTCGGGGTCCTTTTCTCCAGGCCAACAAGGTATTACTATCTTGATGGGGTGATGAAGGAGGCAACCCCCAACTCCAAATTTTCAGTCACAGATGACTAGGAAAAGAATAATGCAACTAACTAAAGTGGAGTCATGCAAAGACCTAAGTTTCAGGGTGAAAATGCACTTAAATTGTTGATTTACTCAGCTTGAGATGATAAGGCAAGCCATTATTAGCTGTGGCATTTGAAAACGTATGACCAGAGTGACAAAGACTTAGCAGTGTTACAGAAGGGAAGGTAGGTGTCATTCACTGATGTAGGTATCATTAAGAGGAATCTACTTAAGAAGGAAATATAGAATAAACAAAAAAATAAAAGGGAAAAAACTCAGTATTTCAGGGGTTGTTGTCTTATGGGCTATTTAGTTTTTTGTTGTTGTTTCTCTGGGCTTTAATCATTCCACAGTCATCTCTCCTTTAACATAAATCAGTTGGGGGAAAGACTCAAACTAGGCAATTACCATTTATAGTAACAGCTGGGTGAGGAGAGCTGAAATAACTATAATAAATAACTAGAGTGAATAAAAAAAGGGAAACACATAGGAGACAAAAGAAAGTAGTTATGGGCAGAGAAGGAGCATTGGGCATACAAGGGCCGGCGAAGCGGGACAGGGTGCTGTCCTGGCAGCCAGGTGCGGGCAGAGTGGTGGGAGGGGTGGGCTGGTGAGCCGTCATGTTGCAGGAGCCAGGATTAGGTGCTAAGGGCCAACAGACTGCCGCCTGTGCCCTGGCTGGGTCCTTTGTAGACTGGGGGAGAGGTGAGGCCAGAAGCCAGTCAGACTCATTAAGCAGGGTCGGTAGGAGGTGGGGACACCAGGCCAAGACCGTGAATACATATGGGCTGCTGAAGCAATGGAGGAAACGAGGGCAGAAGTTGTTTAAACCGAGGGCAGAGTGGATTCAAGTAAAGCGAATTGCTCTGTTGAGACAGCAGGAGCCGAGGCATGTCTGAGGTCCTAGAATGTTAATCAGAGCATGGCCTTTTGTTTGTTTGTTTGTTTTCCTGAAACCCCATCAACACAGATCATCCAAGGTCAATGGTACTTTCTCACCCAATGAAAGATCCTATACTAGTGATGGGTAGAATCACTAGTACACTAGAAAGTACTGGGGCATTGAATGTTTATCCTGTCTGAGAAGGCCTAACGTTCTCTGTGGGTGTTGGCTTCCTCACTTATCTGATGGCGGAGAAGCTCTCTTACACTGACCGGCCAGATTAACAGGCAGGATTTCCTGGCACCTATGGCCAAAGCAGCTAGGGGAGCAGAAGATGGTTTTACCAAGTACATCCGAAAAACTTTCCCCTCCAGTCTTCTCTTGATTGGAGTGTTTGTCAGCGTGTTGCTGGAGATGGACTTTTAGGCATGGGGTTTCTATTAGAGGTGGAACTCTATTAGGCGGTAGCTCAAACTCCAGCTGCAAGTATCAAAAAACCGAATCCACGCCAGCGGAAGCAAAGGAGAAGATGCATCGGCTCGTGTGACTGAGAAACGAAGATCCTCGCGTCAGGTGCAGCTGAGTACAGGTGCCCAGACAGTAGCCTCAGGATCCAGCTCCATCCTTGGGCTCTGCATCGATCGTACTCAGGCTCCGTGGTAGGGAGAGGTGGATGGTAGCAGCTTCAAACTTACTTTCTCTTAGGTTCAAGGTCAGGACGAAGCAATACAGTTGTCTCTTGCTGCAGTCCCAGGAAAGAGCTCAGCGGGTATCACTGGTTTAGTTGGGTCACATGACTATCCCGGAACCACCCCTTTTGCCGATTGACTGGGATGGAGCCCCACCCAGATTTCAAGGATACATGGAAAGGGACGGATCCCCAAAGAAAAATTATTAATCCTGGGGTTGGGGTGGGGGGCGGCAGGGAAACAGAACTCATCCTGAAGTCCCTTACTTTTTTTTTCCCCCAATAAAATTATTTCCTCTATGAATTTAGGAGCAATGAAAGACAAGAACTAGCTGGTTCTCATTAAACTGCAACCCTTATAATGCCTAGAATGTAACAGAAATTCAGAAAATGCTTTTGTTCATGCTGATCACAGGATTCATAGATTGAGGTGACTTCTGTGTTTGACTAACTCATATAAGTATGTTAGAAATGATTCATATCTCATTTCGAAAATCATAATTTCAGTATGTGTTAATTTTGTTTTTGTCATATACAAATGCCACTTGATTACTGTTGCTTATGAAGTTATTTGACTACCACATAATTTGTAATATGCCTGAAAAGCAAAGTAACGATATGACTTAGATCTGCAAAATGGTTCTGGGCGGGTTCGGTGGGCACTTGGTGCTTTGTTTGGGCACAGTTGCGGAAATACCATTGCGTGAAAATGGCCCTCGGCTGTCATGAAGTCTGCAGTTTGTCATGGTCCATGCTTATCTGGCTGTTCCTGTCATTATTCTCAGGTCTGCAATAAAATCATCTTTCTAATGAGTTTTGTGGGCAACTGTGGAACATTCACTAGAGGCTATCGAGCCATGGTTCTGGATGTTGAGTTCCTTTACCATTTGTTGTATCTGCTGATCTGCGCCATGGGCCTCTTTGTCCACGAGTTCTTCTACAGTCTGCTGGTGAGTTCCTGGTATGGAAAGATTTTACGTGTCAAAAACTAGGAGAGTCCTGTGTCTCTCCTCACAGACCTCTCCTTTTAATGGTGATTGGTATGTCGGGGCTAACAAGGTCACATGCCTCATTTCCAGTATCTAGAGAAGAAAGCTCCCCAGGGAGCAGGGCAGCTGGTAGGGGACCAAGAGGTATGTGATTGTGCTGCTTGCGTGCACATTGGATCTTTCACTTTCCAGTGGTATGCAGTGCCTGCCATCTGGACCAGGGAATGTGTCCTCCACATGCATCTTTGCTTTGCTTTCTTTCTTGGACTCAGCCAGTGCTTACCAGGGAGAATGTTTTTTGAGACTGTCATCATCTGACAGTTCTCATGGGATCCGCTTCCCAGGGAGAACATGTAGTGACGAAATAAGAGGAGGAGTTTTTTCAAAGTCCCAAGATCTATGACAGGGAGCTCAATAGATTTATTGGTCCAGGAGACCTTTTCGCTGGAAGTTCTTTGGTTCCAATCTGAGCCAAGTGATTAAGGTCTTGATAGTCTATAAAATGAGTTGGTTCAATCACCTTCCTCCTGAGCAGGTTTTTAAATTATAGACCAAATATCTACTTACTTTCCTGTCATTAGAGGGAATCTAGACCTGTAGAGTTATAGATAAGAAACCTTTGCCTTGTACCTACATCAAATGACAAGAAGCATAAAGCTGAGCTATCTGCAAGCAAAACTATCCATAAAGGGACTAGAAGAATTAAAATGTTAGTGAGGATAAAAAATGATCAAAGGGATTTATTTGCAAAGGGTGGAGCAAGGAAAACTCTTCTGGGAGGTA